GAAAAATTATTTCACGATAATTTAGGGATTTTTATGCGTTTTTGCTGTGAAACGCTGTAGCGGTGTTGCAGCGAGCAAGAACGCATATTGTCGAGAGGTCGCCCGTGTGTGTGTATGTTTGTCAAGAAGCGAGTGAACTTTGTCGTCCACTTGCAACTCAGCAGCCAGAAATGCTGGGAGACTGAAATTTTGGAAATATATTCCCACCCCGTCTGCCCCATTCCCCTCGTTTTAAAATCTTCGCTCATACTAGATCTCGTGTACGGACTCCCGAAAAAATATGCAAACTTCTCCGAAGTGGAGGAACGACATTGTGAACCAGGCGAGACAGAAAGCTGAAACTTTCCAGGGATATTCTATGTGCTTGTGTGCGCTAAAGTTTCAAATTGAGCCATTGTAGACGCTTGTGCAGCGCGTACGATCCCGTCAAAGCTTGCACTGGGGACTGTGCTAACTCGAAAAGTAGTCGAAAAACAGTGGCTGGGATTTTTTTAGCTTGTTTATCGCCCATATGGTAAATAGAACACCTAAAATGAGTTCCAATTTGCACTTGCGCCACGACTTAGGGTACTTCAGAGGTATTTGTAGCGAAGTGGCTATTTCGCTTATTGGATAATGTGTGAGACTGAAACTTTGCCGGGATGTTCTACTTTTAAGTAGATCTTATATCTGTTTGAAAGTGGAATTCCTTGCAAATGAGTATGAGAAATACTCAACTTAACCAGAAACAAGTGCAATTTACGGTGAACGACAGTCCTCATGCTCTCCCGACATCCAGTTTATTTACATATTTGGATTTTTTGACAAACGACCGCTCTAACAACTATTGCCAGACGGAGACTGTTTAATTTCATTTATGCAAGATTTTTGTTGATTTGTAGCCTGATTGCTTCAAGTTTGATGCAGAAACGTATGATCACACCGGCAAGCCTGGTGCGTTTCAGCCTGGGTTCTCAATGAATGACCATTCACCCGACAAACGACCGGGCTTCATACAAAAACCTGTTGACCATGCATACTGGAGGTCCATGCGGCTCCATAATGCACCACCTTCATCCCAGCCAACGCTCTTTTTCCCTCCATGTGCGAGAAGAAAATCACTGGCGACGCGCACTGGGTGGGCCCCGTGCGATCATGCATTTTTGCAGTGTTTCGCGCTATAATAAGATTCATCTTTCTCTCATAGAAGGTGGATGGGGATAGTCGTTGGCTTTTACCTCCTT